TTTTCAAGAATTTCAACAACAAAAAAACAAAGTTTGTAATTCTAGATTTTAGATGCCAATTCTTTTGATCGGTTTTAAAAAAACTTGTTTGTATTTTTCAACTTTTCTTTTCCATCAATAATGTTTTGTTATCATTTTGTTTGTTTGTTTGTCAATTTTTTTTTTTGAAGTTTGTAGCGAAAAAATTTCATTCATCCCGATTTATACCCGAGGGATTTTATTTTTTTCGTTTGAAAAACAAAATTTAAATTCAAATTTCCAAAATTCAAATGTTTTCCAACCAAAAAATATTATCCATCATCATCACAATTCGATACAAAAGAGAATTCAGAAAAAAAAAGGAAATTCATTGATAAATCAAATGATCAAAACATTGGATGTGAAACAGATTCTATATTTACGTTTGATGTTTCGATGTTTTGTTTGTTTGTTTGTCTTGTTTCGACAAAATCATTGAACTGATTAAACGAATTTTATTGAACAAAAGCCAAGTTGAAATTCATTGATGCTCAACTTAGTTGGTTAGTTAGTTTCTCTTTTTGAATGTAAATGTAACAAAATTGAACAACAAAACAGAATTCTGATTCAAAACGGAAACAAAAATTCAAGCCAAAACAGAAAATAAATAGGAAAAATTCGTATTTGAGATTTGATTGGAAATTTTAGAATCTTTAGTTTATCCAAAGTCAATAAGTTGTATCTTTATTTTGAAAATTGATAGAAACTTTACAGAATTTATTTGCAACATAAACCATATGATAATCAAATTCTATAACATTAACTTAAACATTTTAATCTCTTTTCTGTAAAACTTTATTCATGGTAACTTTAGGAATAAAAGGAAACAGTTATTTAGTGTTATTATGATGATGATTGATGTAAATTCAATACAATTCAATAAGTGAACAAAAAAAAAGAAAGAAAGAATTTATTATAATATAAAGTTAAAAAGAAGAGAGAGAATATTCGTTGAAAAAAACGAAACGAAATTGATTCTGCGCTTATATCAAATTCCATAATGGTTTAACTAAATAACTAACATAGCATAACTAACATGCACATGCACACAGATCATTCAATAAATAGAAAAAAAATATTCTGAAATTCTATGTTGTTTTTCTATTTGATCAAACACCAAAAAAACATTCGGTTGTTCAGTCAGTTGTTGTTGTTGTTGTTGTCACTGTATCACATTGGATCGATCGTCATTGATTTCAATTTGTGCTTCAACAACATTGAATTTCAAGTGTTTTTTCGTGCCAAAATTTTTTTTTGTTTATTTTATTAATAAATTTTCTTTGAACACTAAAAAATTTTTCATTTAAAATGTGTGTGTGTGCATGTTTTGGTTTTTTTCGACAATGATGCTTCTATTTTGTTGAAAAATTGAATTCTTCTAAAAAGAAAAAAATCTTTGTCATGCCATCCGAGAAATAATTCAATCAAGTAATTAATTTAATTAATCATAATTTCATTTTTGCGGTTTTTCATCATCACCATCAACAACAAAAAAATACGAATTTGCTTCGGAGAAATGGTAAGAAATTGCTTATTTTTGGAAATTTTTGTTGGAACAATTTTTTCTGATGTCAACCCATAAGAAAATTCTGATGAAAGTATAATAAAAAACAAAAAAAAATTTATTACATTTGCAAATGATTCGGAATTATGTGCGAATGGATTTTCTTTTTCTCTCTCGATTTATCATCATTCATCATTTTTATTCGAGAAGAAGTAGAAAAAAAGCTGATTTGATTTAAGCAACAAGAAAAAAAAATCCGAAAAAAATGATTTCCTAATCAGAATTCAAACATCAATATGTGAAACAAGTAGGGAAAAAATGAAAATGAAAAATAAACTTTTCCGTTAGCATCAGGAAATTCATGTGAAAGAAAATTCTTCCCTTTGAAAAAAATAAAAAATAAAAACATCATGTTCATCATTTCATTTGATGTAGACATCAAACAAGCAACAACAACAACAACAACAACAAAAAATACTTGAATAGTTTTCCTGGTTCCAGTTGAAAAGATTTCTCTTGAAAAAAAACGAAAGAGAGAAGGGGGAGAGAAAGATAAAAACTTTGATATTATTAGCGTTGATGATTTCAAATTAATGGAATAATTAGGTTTTAAATTTTGAAATGTTTTTTTTTCTTCTGAAATTTTTTTCTGACAACCGTGGAAAATAACAACAACAACAACATTTATTTCGTTAAATTTTTTTTAAAATTTTTATGAAAATAACAAACAGAATTTTTAATTATGGATTTTTTTTGGTTGCCGTTCATATGAATTCTATGACCAAAGTTTCTGTCATCTCACCACATAACAAGTGAGAAAAAAGTTGTAAAAATTATTTGTCAAATTTTGAATGAATTTCGGTTTTAAAACCGAAATTTCTTTTTAAACATTTTTTTTCAATTATTTAAATTAAAAAAATGATGATGATGATACAAGACTTGAATACTGAAGAAAATTGATGTTTTATTGAATAAAAAAAAAATAAGTGAAAAAAAAGCTAATAAATGTTTATCGGTTCCGGGGGAACTTTTTCTATGAGTAGATTGGAAATTTTCTTTTTATCTGCTCGAAAAAAAAGCAGGCTCATTTTCATCACTCATTCACTTAAAAGATTTTGAAATTTTGAATTTTATGGTTATCACAAAATAAAAAGGAAAATCATCGATAATAATGGCTATTATAATGAAGAATTTTTTTTTGTCGAAAATTCTTTTGGAAAAATTTTTCACTAAAGATTCTCTAAGAAAAAGAAAAATTGAAAGTTGAAACGAAAAAATAATGACTGTAATATGAAACGAATGAATGAATGAATGAATGAATGAATCTCTAGTGATTTTCATTCAATTGATTGCAAATGAATTACCATTATTATCTTTCTTTTTCTTTTTTCTGGTTGATGATGGTGACTAAATGAAGCTGAACTTTTTTTTTCTTAACTTATTCTTATTCTTAGAGTTTTTTTCATATCCAAAACACACACACATTCAGAGACTTTTTTTCTTTGTGAATCATTCTTTTCACACGCACGCCATTCTATATTTGAATATATGATGAACAAAGAAACTACTAACTGTGAATAAATGAATTTTCAACAATGTTAATGATTTTTTTTTTTTTTTTGCTTCTCAGTTTTTGTTCAAATTTTATCCATTTGGTTTTCATTAACTGTAATTAATTCTCTATATTTTTGTAAGAAAATCTAGCTCAGATAAATATTTATCAACAAGTTTTGTTTTGTTTGTTTGTTTTTTCAAATCAGCAAATGAAATTAATTCAAATTCAAACAAACAGAAAAAAACAATTCAAAACGATAGATGGCGTCGATGAATCAAAAAACAAACAAACAAACAAGAAAAGTTCCGGAAAAATGAAAACTCAAATGATTCAAAAAAAAATGTCATCATTCAAATTCAATTAGCCAAAGAAAAAAAATAGGAACATGTATTATTATTATTTTTTTTGTTTAAATGTCAAAAACAAAAAGTTAATGACAATAAACGAGACATTTTTGTATATGATTGTATTTGAGGTGTTGGCTTTTGGTTCCAATCTTTAACATGATGATTGATGTGTGTTGGTTATATTTGTGTTTGGTCTATTGAAACAAAAATTATTGCAATGAAAGAGAAAAAAATTACGCCAAACATCTCCTTCCAACAATTCATTATCATACAATTTTATCCATTCAACCATTCAATAAATAAGGCTTGGCAAATTCCTTTGCATTCTTTTTTTCACCTTCTTCTCCCAATGTAAAATAATACAATGTTCATTGTGAATTGAAAATGTAAAAGCCACATTGAATCTTTAGGAGAAATAAATAAAAAGTCCTGTTGCTATTCACAACCGTTGTTGTTGTTGTTGTTGTTTTTGATGATGATGATGATGTTAGAAAGTTTTTCATCATCATCATTGTCGTCGTCGTCGTCGTCGACAACCAGATAATCAACAACCACAGAGGAAAACAAAAATTCAGGTTTACATCATCACAGGTAAACGAACACACAAAAAAAAAACTATGGCGTGGCAAACACACACACACAAACTTGAATGCATTGAAGAAAAAATAGAAACGGTAAGATAGATTCATTCATTCATTCATTCATTTATTCTCCAGAAAACCTACCTAGCAACATCGTCGTTTGAATTGTCAAATTTGCATTGAAAAAAACCTGAACTACGACATCCAAAACGACAACGACAATGAACTAACAAACAATTTTTTTTTCTTTTTGAAATTAAGTGAAAACACCAACCCGGCCTATTGAAATGAAAATAAAAATAAAAATAATCAAACAAATTACAAACTTTACCTGTATTGGATATTTGTCGCTGATGATTATTTAGTGGTTGGTTGGTAGGTAGGTAGGTAGGTAAGCAATTCATTCAGATCGAATAGTTGTAGTGGTGGTAAAGCGAGAGTTTTTTTTTTCTTATCCACGTTTTAGTAGTATGTGGCCATTCTCGGTGTATATTCGTTTGAAACACACATACACACAGACATAGATTTCAATGCTCATAGTTTTTTTTCCGCTGAACTGTTGCACATTTTTTTTTTTGATACTTTTTTTTTGATTTCCAATTTTTTCAATTCAATTCAACCGAAAATTCTTTGCAACAGATAGATGACTATTGATTGATTTGAACTTTCTTCTGATTCATAATGAATGATTATAATGAATCGACAAAAAATTAATAAATCAATTTTTCCCCATTGTTGTTGGGTATGGTTTTTCATTTCCTTGTAATTTTATTTTGATGTAAAAATGAATTTTCAACAAATGTTATTGACATTTCTTTTATTCATGTAATATATTCATTTGTGATTTTGTTTTTCGTTTCATTGTTTTTTTTCAATCAACAGAATACAGTTCAAAATAATGGATAATGATCATTGATCATTGGTTTTATGATTCCGAAAAAATAAAATAAAATAAAACCAACCCTTGAAGCCTAATCAATTCATCATAATGAAGATCATAATAACAAAAACGATGAAGAGCTTTACATTATTAATATTTTCATCAAAATCATCATCAACATCATCATCATCATCAAATTTCATTAAAAACTTATTACCGTTCATCACTATAATAACATTATTATGGTCATGGATATTATTAATTAGAATACCTGTCGTTACTGGTCAATATGATTGGCAAAAACCGGATACATTTGATGAGATACGACATAAAATTGATTCATTAACACCAGATAGCTGTAAAGTTGTCGATGTAAATAGATTATTTTTACCACATTCAACTGTAACACATGTACCAAATTTACAATGGCTAGGTATCGATCCAATATTTCCAAATCGTACAAATCTATTACAAATACATAATATGGCCCTTTCACGTGCTTTCTTTCTAAGGTAATCTTTATTTGTGTTATTTTTCTATCATTTTTACCCAAAATTATTCATTCATTCAAATAGTTTCATTCTACAAAAAGCCAATGATAATGATGAACCTGGTCTAATGTATTATTATCTATCAACAATAGCCGATGTTGCCTCAAATCGTTTTATAAATGCTTCGGGATTTTATTTTGCACCAAATCATGCATTCACACCATCATATCGTGGTTTTTTCAACAAAACATTGCCATTATTTGCACCACGTGCATTTCGTATCGATGATTTTAATGATCCGTTCCATGTACAACGTACATCAACATTAAATACAATATATGCAACCGATCTAGGTGCTATTCCAAATAATTCTGTTTCAAATAATTATACAAATGAACAATATCGTATTAATGATTGGTATAATTCATGGTTACCCGATTCAACACGAAGACATGATTCAAAAACAACCTATACTGTACAAATTACACATAATAATCATACAAATGAAACATTTGTATGGCATGGACCACCTGCACCATCTGATCCACCTGGTCCAGTAAAATGGTTCCGTCCATATTATGATTGTAAACGTTCAAATAAATGGATATATGGTGCTTCAGTTCCAGTACCGGATATTTATCCACGACATACTGGTTGGCGTCATATTGAAATTCCAATGTAAGTTTTTATTCTAAATTTAATAATGCTATTTTTACATGCAATTAATTATTCAATCGATCAATGATAATAGGTATGTAGCAACATCGGTTATGGAAATAGATTTTGAACGTATTGATATTAATCAATGTCCAATTGGTGAAGGAAATCCATCACCAAATTATTTTGCCGATACATCACGTTGTCATAATCGTACAACCGAATGTGAACCATTACATGGTTATGGTTTTCGTCGTGGTGGTTATCAATGTCGTTGTCGTCCAGGTTTTCGTTTACCAAAAACTATACGTACACCATTCAAAGGTGAACGTATTGAACGTGCAACAAAAAATGAATATGATAAAGCATTTCGATGTTCAAAAATTGGTTATGTTGCTGTACGTACACAAAATGTATTACCAATTGATCCAATTGAACGTCGAAAATTAATACATAAAACTGAAACATTGACCGGTGTGAAAACAAATTCCACAAAATCGGCACGTATAGATCCATGGACATTACAACAATTCATGAAACAAATACGACCAGATAATTGTCATCGATTTTCACGTGATGATCTTACATTACGTGGTGATGTTGGTTTCGGTAAAGAAATTCAATTCGAAAATGAAGCTCGTATGGCATTACGTTTAGCACATTTTCTTTCGGCATTCATTCAGACTGTTGATCCGAATCAAACATTCGCTGAATTTCGTGTACCTGATCGTCCATTGAATAAAGATCAGGTTATTGCCGAAACATTGGCAACATTAATCGGTGATCGACAACTATATGGTGTTAGTGTTATATTTGAAAATGAAAAATTTTCAACAAATTTAAGTAGATTTGCTCCATACGCTTATCGATTACAACGAAATGATCGAAAATTTTTTATCGATGATCTTGAACGTTTTGAACCAACAAGTCCATATCATTATCGACAACGTGAACTTTATCGTTTATTACGTGATCGTTATAAATCATTGGATGAAAATTCATTGGAAGAATTTACAGCCAAAATTGAAATTCGTTATAATTCGGAAGGTCATTCAACAATACGTTATGATCAATATCCATTGCAATATAAAGCAGCTACATTAGTAAATGGTCAATGGTCAACACCATATTATGATTGTGGTGGTTATCATAATCGTTGGCTAATTAGTTATGGTGCACCATTTTTTAATAAAGATAAAGTTAGTGGCCGTTTACAGTTACAAGGATTTGTTATTGTCGATATGCCATTAAATGATTTAGATATTAATCAATGTGGTACAGGTGATCCATTAGATTGGGCAAAAAATTCACAACAATCAGCACAATTAAATTATATGTATCCAACAGATTTTTCTCATCATCGTTATTATCAGATGCCTAATGCATTTCGTAATACACATAAATGTGATCGTCTTTCATCATATTGTGTACCAATACTTGGCCGAAGATTTGAACCCGGTGGTTATAAATGTCAATGTGAACAAGGTTTTGAATATCCATTCAATGATCATATTACTTATTTTGATGGCCAGGTTATGGAAGCTGAATATATTAATATGTTACAACAACAACCATCACGTTTTGATACATTAGCTTGTCGTGTTGCACGTGCTCGTTCATTAATATCCGGTTCATTATTGTTAATAATATCAATGGCTATTATATCGATCATTCTATTCACTATCGATAGTTAATTTTTTTTTCTTCTTTGCTTCCATTAATAAAGTTGCTTCCATCTTTAATTCAAATTTTTCTTTCCTTATTCCTAATCCATCTGTTTCCTTACTTTATTTTTTCATATATAAATTTTTAAATAACAATTGAAGCTCAATAATTTATTTTCATTCATTCATTCATTTTCATTCATTCATGATGTACAAAAAAGAAATAAATCAATCAATCAATCAAATTTTCACTAAATAAAATTCATTTCATTTCAATTCTTTTGATTATCATTCCAAATATTCAATATGTTTTTTTTATCAATATAATTGAAATTCATATTGACGCAGTGCGGTCTTTTTTTTCATCATCATTGCTTATCAATATTACCGTCGGATTCATATATATAGGGAAAAACCAGTGAAATTAAAAAAAAATAAAATAAAATTCTCTGGTTTCGCGATTCAAACCTTCAACAAACTGTGTGTGTGTGGGTATATATGCGGTTTGGACGTCATGCGTTATAAAATGATATTTTCTTTTATGACTTAAATGAATAGAATTTTTTGCATAGTTTGTCTGTTTGACAAACAAACTGAATTTGATTTTTTTTTGTGGTCATAAAAAAAACATTATACAGGTGTATTTTGTTTCTGGTTCATTGCCAAATTCATTATGGTTTTTGTATTTTCCGTTTCGGAATAATCCAAATTTGGACAACAACAACTACAACAAAACAAACTGATAATGATTCTACTATTGTATTTTTGATTTTCGTCAATGGTTCACTAATATTACATGGTCATCATCATAATTATTTTGTTTCAAATGTTAACCAAACTCAAATGAATAAAATTATTATTATGTCAATCAACAAGGACATCAATCAATCAATCCAATTGAACTGAATTGATCTGAATGAATTTCCTGAACGAATATAAATTGATTGTTTACAATCGAAAAAAAATATTAAAACAATTTGTCGCTTGTGTATAGTTAACATCGAATTTGTTTCACAAAAAAAATCAAGAATCATGTGGAATCTATGCCGTGCACAATGTCCAGCTTCAATTCTTCAACAATCATCGGTATGTATGATTTAGTGAAAATAACGAACATATTCATTTTGAAACAACAAAATTAGCGAAAATCTTACAATCCATTGAAACAATGACAATCCTAATAATTTTTGCTTGTCAAAACAATAATAATAATAATAATAATAAATCTTTTTGTTTGTCAAGTGTCAAAAATCAAAAAAAAAAAGTAAAAAAGATTCGCTGTCATCGATTTGTATCGAGAGAAAAAAAAATGTCAATTTTTTTTCTACTCTATGCTGATTGACATTATTATTGTTGAAGAGATTTTCTACAAAATCTCGATCAACAACAATCGAATCAAAACCTTTTTTTTTGCAAAAGAAAAAAAAATCATTAAAAATAGTTATTTTTAGCGAAAAAAAAAATAGTTTTTTTCCATCTAATGAATTGAATTGGATAAATGATAAAGGTAAAATACAATATACAATCAGCAAGCCAACAAACCAAATCAAGTTTGAAGATCAAAAATGACAAACATACACACTAAAGTAACAGTCGATACTATACACTATTTCTTTTCTTTTCTTTTTTTTAAAAAAAAAACGAAGGACGATTATTAAAATGATGATGATGATGATGATGATGAAATATAAAATACTAAATTACAATTGGGAATGAATAGAACTAACAATGACGACTAAAAAAAACATTGTCGACAGGTAACATACATTTTGTTATAAAGAAAAGAAAAGAAAAAGAAACATTGTCTTTTCAGGTGAAAACAATTGAGCCAACTTACAAAAAAAAAATTAAACTTTTAATCCTCACACACACACGATGTTGTTGTTTTGATCCGATGACAATTCGGATTTTTTCTTGGTTTTGGTTTTGTTTCGTCCTCCGTTGTATTTTTTGTTTTTGAAAATTCATTTATTCGGATCATCATTATCCAACCTGAACACACACACACACACACACCCTCAACTTTTTAAAGCAAAGTCATCATCATTGGCATGATGATGATGATGAAATTTTTTACGTTTTTTTTTCTCGTTAACACTACATTTTTCAATCTGACATTCATTGATCACTTTTTTTTTCTCTCATTATTAGTTAAATAAAAGATCTCCTGTTTTTTTACTTTGATTTTTATGTTGTTGTTGTCGTTTGAAAAAAAATTGATTTCTTTTACTTTGTTCAATTTCCGAATTTCCGAATATAGTCGATATTTGGTATTTCAAATGCTGATAATACAAATACAAATCAACAACAGCAACAACGTTTTTCATCATCATCATCTTCGATAAAAAACGATTCTTCAACATTGTGGTCAAAAAAATCATCAATATCACGCCATCTAGCCGATAGTTTTGATACATTTAATCAAATTCTTTCGCCAACAATAGACATTGTTGATAATAATAATAAACATAATTTACGATATTCAAAATTTGATCAACCCATTGATGATAAACCGTTAACGACAACAAAAACACCAATATCGATTGTAAATAAATTATGGAATGATAATCAATCGATTATTATTGATAAACAACCAAATACAAAAAATCAAACAACAGCAAAAGCAGGTAAGTGAATTTTTTGTTTTCAAAATTGAAATCATTTGACATTTAGTTTAATTAAATAAATATCATTATCTTTGTCTTTGTTTTATTGAAAAATTTCATATTCTTTCTTTTCAAAAAAAAAATTTAATTAATTTTTCAAAGGCGTAACATCAGTAGCAGCAGCATTAGTTGTGTCACACAACAACCAACAGCAGCAGCAGACGAAAATTTCCGATTCCAAAATTACGCAAACTCCAATCCAAAAAAAAATATAATTTTTTTTCTCGTTGCGCATTTTGGAATCGCTAAAGTTATATGATGATGATGATGATGCTTGATTGACTTCCTAGAAAATAATTCTATATAAGAGGAAAAGCTATTCAAAAAAGAAAAATGGATCGATTTGGAACCCCAAAAAAATATTATTCTCTATACCACTACTTTCATAAAAAGGGGAAAATTGCTGCTAGAATTTCTTTTTTGTGTTCATAGAATATTCTGGTCGGATTCTTTTTTTTATTGTCTCGATTTTGATAATAATTTGCGTTGTTGTATGATGCCATTGTTTATGTATATGTGTGTGTGTGTGTTGAGTGTGTCCATCCCTATTTTTTTGAGTTATTTTACACTGAATAATCAGTTTCAGGAAAAAGCCCAACAAAAAAAAAATTTTAAAACCATTCAGATGACTCATACGTTTGACTAAAAAAAATTTTTTTTCGTTGTTGTTTCGTTCCAGAAACGTTGACATTATCAAAAGAATTTGGTGTTGGCCATAATAATAATCAATTGGATTCTGATCAATCAAAATCGAAACAACAAATTATCAACGATAATAAAATGGATAATAATAATAATACTGATTCATCTATGAATCGTCAAACTGAATATAGTCGTCAATATCAATGGCAATTACCAATGATTGATACTAAACCTGTAAAACAGGAACCAATGATGAGTCAATATCAACGTTCATATGGTTATTTTGATCATCATAATCAACAACAACAACAACAACAACAACAACAACAACAACATAGTGATCATCCTATAACATCTTATTCACAACCAGCAAGCCTAACAAATAGTTATAATAGTCAATATGATGTTATTGATTCGATTGGCGATAATAATGTTAATCGTTCACAAAAATCTTTGAAATCTTATCAAAATGCTATTGTGCCAGGTAGTGCTGTACGTAATATAGGATCAAAAGAATTATCGCTAAAATCATCAAAATGTCAAAGTAGTATACAACAATTGGCCAACGAAAATAATGATAATTCTCAACAACAACATCAACAACAACAACCATCATCATCCACAACAGCATTATCTCAACCACAACAACAAATGGATTCATTAAAATCTTGTCATTCATTATTCGATTTTGAACCATCACCACCACCATCAACATTAACATCAATTGATTATCCATCGAAATCGGAATATCATTCAAAATTTAAAGATTTTAATGAATATGTTTATGTTGAAGGTGATGGTTTTAAAAAAGGTGATAGCCTTAGCTTACAAGCTCAACAAATGGCACATTCATGGTTTAATGAAGTAACTGAACGTTCACGTCAAGCATGTAAATATCGTGCTCGATCTCGAAATGGTTTGTATAGAATTGCTTTTTTAGTTATTCAATTGTTAATTATTTTTTTTAAAATTAGGTGCAACGCCAGTCAATCCAGAATATTCATGGAATGGTGTACCAGTTAAAGATCGTAATGATCTTGCAGCATTAGCATTAGCAACAAGACTTGTTATTGAACAAAAACGTTCAGAACGTAATTATTCAACAAATACATCATCATCATCACGTAGTGCATCGGCTAAACCACATTTACGTAATTCTGGTCAATCATCAATAACGATGAAAATGAATTCAGCGCCACCTAGTCTACAAGATGATCGTTCGATTGGTTCAAGTAATGATTATTATGTGAATTTCTATTTTCTATTTTCTTATTTTTCTGAAATTTTTCAATCATTACAGAACCAAGACCAGTAACTCGAAAACCAGTGACAAAAACAACAACAACAACAGCAGCAGCAACGACGAATGTCAAGCAATCGAATGTTGATCGAAATAATAACAATTCAAAAATTGTTTCAAGTAAAGCTATTTCGGTAAAAAAACCACCACCATCATCAACAACAGCAGCAAGTAATCAAGCATCAGTGGATAATGGATCGAAAAAAATCTGGATAAAACCGGTTAAAAAACCAACAGCCAATGAATCAGAATCAACAACCAAAACAACAAAATCAATAGGTGCTAATGATTCAAACATAGGAAAACAACGTGAATTTGATCCAGAACCAAAACAAGTACCATTACATACAACACAGATAAAATCACCCGAACAGATAAGTGGTATTAAATCACCATCACCTGAATCATGGAAAGTAACTATTGAAAAAGGTGGTCTAAATTGGGTAAATGGTGGACAAACAACAACAACAACAACAGCACCGGTAAATTTTCCCGATCAACAATCATTATTACAACAACAACAACAACAAAATGATCAAATGGTACGACCAGTACCGATCAATGGAATATCACGTCTTTAATTGTATTGATTGATTGGCATTTTATTAATTTAAAACAAAATTTGCATCAATATGACACACACACACATTTACAATATTTTGACAACAGACTTTTCAAAACAAAACAAACAAAAAAACTTAGACAATTTAGAATAACTTGATGATTGGAGAAACAAAAACGATTCAAAATAACCAATTTCAAAAAAAAATAATCATTATATTGATAATTTGAATGAAAAATTTTTAATTTTTCAAAAATATATTCAATTATAATTATAATAATAATAATAAAAATTTGAAAAAATACATTTTATCAAGATAAAAATAATAAAATGATAATTTCGATTTCGTTTCATTCATTCATTTATTAGGATTTTTCAAACATTCAATTCCAATGATGTTGATGTAACAACAAACACAATATAAACCAATGTACAAAGTATACCTAATTTTAGATTTAAACGCCATCTTGATGTACGAAAAATAATTATCATTGCAAATATTGTCAATAATAATGTTAATGATGTAATTGGTAATGCTGTACTTTGTATTGGTATATAACTATTGGCCAATGTTGCTAAACCAAAACCATTTGTTACAATAACTATTGATGATTTTAATAACCATGGTAATCCAAGACAAAATAATATATCAAAAATATTTGATCCAATTGAATTACAAATAGCCATATCGGCTAATCCAGCTTTTTTAACAATCAAATAACTGGAAATTAATTCTGGTATGCTTGTACCGGCTGCCAAAACAGTTATACCCGATACTGTATCTGGTATTCCCAATGTATAGCCTATTTTTTTCAAAGATTTAAATTTTAATTAAGCAATTATTGTAAATGTATATAAAAATAAAATACGAACCAACTAATGTAACCATCCATACAATAAAATAGGTAAGACATGCAATCCAAATAATTGATGAAACAAATGTAATAACAAAACAGAATCTTGTTGGTTTTGGTAATGTAATGAAAAATATAATTTTAAATGGTATTAATATAAAACGAATAAATGGATGACTCGACCAATCGGTATCAATTTCATCATCTATCAATTGTTGTTCCAAATCAATAATTTCCGTTCTTGATTGTTGTTTACCTGATGATTGAGACCGATTTTCATCTTGGATTTCAAGGAAAAAAAACAAAATTTTGTTGGAAAAAAAATTTTTGAAAAATTAAAAATCACAGCAAACAAACCTGATTGAATTTCTTTAAATCTTCCATTTTCAGCCAACGTTAGATGAATTTTTGATAAATCCACTTGTTCATTAGTTGTTGTTTGTTGTTGTTGTTGTGAAACTTGATAAGTATCACCACCGGATTGATATGCAGGTGGTGGTGATAATCGTTTAACACTATCATCAGTCAATAATAATGGTCGAGATTCATTATCGACAATTGTTGATCTACGTTTTTTTCGTTTTTCCTGATCATCATCATTATTATCATATGAATGATCAGATGAATTACGACGAAATTGTGCCGATGTTGCTTTACCAATCATATGTGATACTTGTGCATTAAAATACATAACAATAATGTATACAATATATAATGCAATCAATGTTATTGATTCAATCCAATCAACACGATTATCTTTGATACAAAGTATCAATGTTATTATTGTTAATACATAAAATATTGTATCACGTATAATTGGAAATGGATTGATTTTGGGCATATTTTTTAGATTATAATAAGCAGCAAAACCACATGCACCAGGTATAGCAATCAAATTGAATACGGCTGAACCAACAATAGTACCAGTACCAATATCATTATCCGAAATGAATACACCAATTACCGAAGTGAATAATTCTGGTGCAGATGTACCAATAGCCATAAATGTTGCACCGGCAATATCCGATGGTAAATGAAGTGCTAAATTAATGATAATAAATAATAATAATAATAATAATAATAATTTTTTTTTTCTATAGGAAACAACAACAAGAAAAAAAACCTTGACTAACCTTCACTAATATATTCTAATGATTTAAGAAAATATTCATCACAAATAACAGCCAATGCTAATGAAAGATAGATAAAAATAATAATATGAACAATAAATCCACCATTTTGACGAAAATTATCGGTCATAAAATCTGGTGGAAATTCATCAATAGCTGATTCAATATGTGATTTTGTTGTTGATTTTAAAATGGTTAAATTCTGTTCATCATCATTATTATTAATATTATTATTATTATCATCATGTTTTAATGTTGATAATGAAAGGGTTTTATCTTTTAATCCTGTTTTTGATTGTTTTGTCATTGATGATTGATGTTGTTGTTGTTTGGTATCATTTTGTTTATTATTCAATAGATGGTATTGTAAATGTGTTACATTTAAACCTCTTGTCAACAAGTTAACAATTGCACGCCATGTTTCTGGTGGTGGTTGTGACATATTTGCTGCAGCTAACATTTGTTCCAAAATTAATTCATCATCATAATATTCTGTTGATTGATTAAATATTATATTTCTTATTACTGTATCCGTACTAATGCTACTTTGATTTTGATTTATTTCATTATTTCTCGGTATCATCGTTGTTGATTGTGCAAATGTTGTTGTTGTCGTGGTTATGATCATTATTAAACTGATGAATGAAATTATATTGACCATTTTGTACGTAAATGATGAAATAGATGACCATGATGTTGATGATGATGATGATGATGGTGATGACATTTTTGATGATGATGCTCGTGATGATAATAATGTAGGTAAAAATGATGATTGTTGTAACGTCCAAAAATTTAAATCATCATTCAATTGTGATGTTGATCGTTGAAATTGGGCAAAATTTTTTTCAAACATTTTTTGTTTGTTTGCAAAAAATTAAAGTTTTTCTAAAGGAAAATTATTTTAAAAAATGGAAATTTTTTTTTTCGTTTTGTAAAAAATTAAATCTTTACATAATAATTAATACACAGACATAAGTAATTCAATTCTCAAACAACAATCAAAAACCAACAACCAACCAACAAAGTCAATGGAAAATTTATAAATGATGATGATGATGATTCAACTTGATCACAATGTTTGTTTGTTGTATGGTGTCGTGATCGATTTTTTTTTCGATTTATTGAATTGATTTGATAATTTTGAATGACATTTATTGTTTCAACAATAAGAAAATAAAATATGAACATCATTCAATGAATGACATCAATCAAATAATCGTTATCATTTGTGATTATTATTATTTTTTTTTTTTTGGTTATTTTTCATCATTATCATGCAATTAATCGAATCATTCATTCATTCATTGACGTATGTTGTTTGAATAAGAAAAAGAAGAAGAAGAAGAAGGAAAAAAAAATCTTTACTGGATCTGGTTTTCATCATAATCATTATCATTATCATCATAATGTACCAATGACCAAATATGTATCTCTCTATATAAATATTTTCATGTGATATATATGTGAATGTAGCTAGGTTTAAAATCCAACAAAAAAAATTCAAATTCAAATCAATCATCATTATCATCATCAATGAAAAAGAATTTTAAAGTTTTTTGTAAAACTTTTAGAATTAGTTCAATACAAAAAAAACGTTTCAACACGAAACAAATCAAATTTCAGATAAAAATGCAATGATAGAAACAAAAATTCCCATAAAAAGAAACAAAGATTATTGATTATCATTTTGCCAAAAAAAAAAAAAATGTCTTACCAACCAACCTTCTCCACACCCCCTATCAATCCATAACTATATATATTAGTTATCAGAAAAATAAGATGTGTCAATTTTTCTTTCTCTTTTTTTTTGAATCAATCACATGATTTATGAAAAGTTTTTTTTTTGTTTTGTTTTTCATAGGAAAAAAAATAAACTTCTTTGTTTGAATTTTTCATTTGATCTGGTTTGATTCTATTTTTTTCAATTCTCCCCCCCTCTCACCCACTCTTATGCAAATAAAAATCAATATATATAGATCACAACATGTAAATAAATGCATGTTTAAGATACTAGAAAAAAAAACATTACAAACAAAGATGATTTTGAAAACTCACTCACTTAAAAAAAGCAAAAATCAATCAATCGATAATCAATAGGGTAGATAATATTATACATATACGCACACACACACACATCTTTAACGTCATCATCATTATCATCATTATTATTGGTGATAATATCAAACAAAATTGTTCATTTATTCATCAGAATACTTGGGTAGGGAAATTTTATTCAAGCCAAAATAAAGCAGTTTGAACTGGTTGAATTTTTCGGTTTTTTGTTTCAGTTAGTTGTTGTTGTCATCAAAGATTCTTTAAAGTGAAAAAAAAGAATTACTGAACATGAATTTTAATGAAAAATCAGAGAAATAATTGAAAAAAATTAATCAAAAAAGATAGTTGGAAAATTCACCAATTCAAACAATTATCATCAATAATCATCATCATTGAATAAAAATAATAATAATAATCAAATCGATCACAATCAAATAAGCTCTCATTATAATTAATTTGATTGATCGATGATTTAGGATGATCGATGATAATTAATTTCTTGAGGTTTTTTCGGTTTCAATCAAATAAAAAAGAAAAACAGACTACAATTATTAATTTAACCAAGCTAAACAATAAAACAATAATGAATTCTTTTTCATTTCATTTCATCATTTATTTATTTATTTTCATGATGATTATCATTCAATGATTCAGTTCATTTATTTCTTTCTCATTTTGATTAAATCAATTTAGTTTTGATTAAATTGAATTTGATTCGCTTCTTTTTTTTTGGATTCATTCATTGATTATTATTTAGTGATGATTCAAACATTGAAACAATAAACAACAACAACAAAAAAAAATCCGAAAAAATTGCTTGAATGATTTTGTTTGTAAATCGACAACAACAACAACAACAACAACAACAACAAAAAGATCGATTATTATCGATTGAAAAACAAATCAATAATTCTCATCAAACAAACAAATAATTATTGCAAAAAGAATCAGTAATACACACACACAGAGATTTGTCGAATGGAAAATTTTACTACATAAATCTTTTTATCAATCTTTTGGTTATTTATTATTTTTATTTTCAAAACTTTTTCTGATTTCCTATACAATACAATGATTATGATTGTTGTCCGGTGTTGTTGTTTTTTTTTTGTCAAAATAAGAAAAAGAAATTTTCCCAAATTTTTTTTTCAATAAAAAAAATAACATCAACAACCGAACGAAAACGATGAAGAAAAAAACCCAATTTACATTATCATCATATGACTACCATGTTATTATTATTATTTTTCATTGGGAAAAGACATCATGATCAATCAATGATGTGAATAAAAGACATTTGGTTTATAGTAAGTTTTGGATTTTTATTTCACCACATTTGATTGATTGATTGATTACATCATTTCGACTGAAGTTTTTTTTTCTTTCTTCTCCTTTTTCTGATATTCAATCAATCAATCAATTGATTGATCGATATATATGGCTAATAAATTTGATGTATCACTTTTGATGTATGATTTGATTGATATCAATCTATGCAAATTGAACACACACGTTATATTCATTAATTTATCGGATACATTTTTTCATTTCAAAAAAAAAAATACTAGTTTTTTTGTTTGTTTGGTTTTAGTTAACTATTACCAAAATAGAGTTACTAAGAAAATGAAAAATATGAAAATCTTTAGGGATTCTTTCCAGGAAAAAAACCAGAATATTGAGGCTAGAAAAATATTAACAACAACAATCAGTAAGAAAACAAAAAGAGAATGGTCACGTAACCGTAATTCATTTCATTTTATTCCATTCCATTCATCACTTTTAATTCATTCATGTTTCGTTCAAATTCTTCATTATTCTTGTTGTTGTTGTTGTTGTTTTGCATCATTGAATATTTTTTTCATTTTCTCTCTCTCTCTCTCTCTCTCTCTCTCTCTCTCTATTTTCTTTGATGAAAATTCTGTTGAACACTATACGAATGACCTTATTGTTAACGATTGACTTTTATTTAGTTAGTAGTTTTTTTTCATTCATTCATTCATTCATTATATTGAAAAATTCCTTTAGGAATCTATGATAATGATGATAATATTAGTTTTTTTTTATCATCAAATAATAATAATAATAATAATAATAATAATAATAATAATAATAATAATAA